AATAGGTAAACAAAACAATCCTCTGGCCGTGGTTTAATGCGAAATTCACGAATGGGGCTTAAACCTGAAGCACTTCTCTGGAAATCGCCACCTCGGGCTGAGTGATTGAGCTGCAATTGGTAGTCAAAATCCTCCGCTGGTTGCTGTTGACTGCGAAATCGTACAGCCCCTAGGGTTTTCTCGTCGTCGCGCTCGCCACCATGTCCGAAACAACCTCCAACCCGTTGTTTCTCGCGAACTCTAGACTGACCGAGGGTGTCGGCTCCTTGCCATGGTGATCGATCTGTAAACGGGTTAGCCGACTTGGTAGAGTCGTGAACGTCGTTGCCGTTCAGAGGTGGCTGGGATCGCTGTCGGGGCGTCCCGACATGAGTGCTTCCCCCACGACCGCCTCTGTATCCCCCGCGATAGTCACGGCCTCCATCACGGTCCATCTTCCATTCCAAAACCACGTTCTTCGGCGTCAAACACAAATCCTCAATCCCCGTCGAAAGATCAACAAACAAATTCGTGAAACGCACGTCCAATTGTTCAAATCGGTAGTCAATCTGTTGAAACCGATCGTTGAAGGTTGAATCACGTTGTTTGTTTGCAGCATCTTGTCGTCCCGGCGGCATCGCGATCGTACTGACTGCTGATACCAACTGATGTAGGGAAGAACGTACGAATGGAAGATAAAAGAGATACTCTCTCGAACTTGGGATACTCTCCCAAAAAATACGAACAATTTTAATTCATTCTCAAATTCACTGCATAAAACAATAGATGGGGGAGCCTCTAAATAAGACTCCTAAATATTATTCCTAACTTGCCCAACAAGACAAGATCTCTAATATTTATTTCCTAACTTATTCTCCAAGATAATAATAATAATAATAATAATAATAATAATAATAATAATAATACTAATTAAACTATTAAACTATCCTCATCAAATATGGTCGAAGTTTTTAATCCCTTCTGAAACTTTAAGGAAGTCACCATACTGTCCTTCTTTCAAACAATGGTTATTGATGTCCTCTATTCTTTTGGAACAACTTCTGTCCAAATGGCCAATCAGTCCACAATAATGGCAAAGATTCAACAATTTTTCATATTTGAACCCCACCTGAGCTGCTTCCTCTCCAAGCCTTATGTTTGCAACTCTAGGAATAGGCTCTTCTAAATTCAGAGTTACCAGCATCTTCAATAACTTACCACCATGATTACTCGCATTTGTCAGAACCACATTCTTGACATTTTTAAAAACTTTCCCAATTTTAAGTCCTACTTCGGTGCTTAACCAATTCAAAGGGACATTTGTTACATGTACCCATATGTTAAGCTCTTGGAAGCATGGATGCTTGATCGAAATTCCCCTTCTCCATTCCTTCAGAACGAGGTATTGGTTCTCAAAACTCCAGTTGATGCCGTTTGCAACATTCTCCAAATCTTCTCGGGTTTGAAAGATAAATTGGAAAAAATTTGGAGTGAGTTCTTTTATCTCCATCGGATGACTGAGCCGCCAAATATTTGTCATCGTTCTTTTAACCCCAATCCAGCTGGCTACTCTGTATCCTACTATTTTACCGAAGAGACTCCTATTGCATTCATCAGCACTCAGCTTAATGTCGTCATTGGCTATATCAATGAAGGTTGCTTCCCGTTCAGATAGAGAGAAGCCCCTTAACTGATTTGATAAATAATCTTCCTGAGCACTAACCATCGATAAGAGAACCCTAGGTTCCAAATGCGCCGGTACTCCCAGAATAAATATAAAGGAAAGCAGCAACACGGTGAAAGAGGGGGAAACCAGAAGTACAAGAAGAAGAAAGATCGGAAATAGATTGGAATCAGCAAAGCTCCCACCTGAGAGAATTATCAGCAAAGCTCCCACCTGAGAGAATTCCAAATCAATTGTTAGTCACGGGATCTAAGTCTAACATATAAATTGTTATAATCATGTCAATATATATATATATATATATATATATATATATATATATATATAAAGAATTACCATTTATTAAAAATAGTAGCAAAAATTTAGGAAACATTTAATGCATATTATTTTTGGATTTTTTTTTAAAATATATGCATTAATTGCTTCTATTTACACGTTTTCAAATAAGATCAAATAACATATGATCAAATAATACTTAAATAAATTTATTAATTTCTATAGTATTTTCATTGATATTTATTATAATAAAGTACAAGATTGATTTTCGTGATTCATGTTGATAATATTTTGGCCAAGATAAATATTATTTTATTAATATTTGTAATACTTTCACTGGCATTCATTATAATAAATTACAAGATTGATTTCTGTGATCTATGTTGGTAATATTTTGGTCAAGATAATATTACACCATATTTTAAGTTGTAACTATAATATTAATTTTTATTCTAAAAATATTCACTTTTTATCTAAAAATATTTATGGAAAATTGTAATAGATTAGGTAGAATTTTTTTCCCAAGTAATTAGTCAAAATCAAGTTGGTGAATTAATCTTTGTCAATATATTTGTTTCTTAAGTTTTATTTTGTTAAATATAAAAAATAAATCATTCTTCAATATAATATAATTTTCCATTTAAGAGATAATGACCAGATACAATAAATAGTTTTTACTAATTGTAAAAAATAAAATTGAAACATATTAACTATTGGTTAAAATTTATTTGTATATTATTGGCACCCTAATTATATTTTTTCATTTTCTTATTTTGATTTATTTCTATAATTTAATTCTTGTAAAATATATTTTCATTGCTGAGTATGCTAAATAAGCCATAAGTATTTATAATGCGAACTAGAAAAATCTTGATCATAGAGGGTATATTTTGTAAAATATTTATACACTATTTAATATTTAATTTATGTACATATTTTAAATTGATTATATAAATAAATAATACCAACGTGCATTAAATATTTTCATTACATAAAATATAAATAAAAAGAAGACGTACAACTTCTATAACTTTATAAATAATAATGACATTATATGACATAACGTATATAATAAAATAATAATTAAGTATTATATGGTGAACAAGAATAAGTAAAATTGTTATTCTCTCTTATATCAAGGAATAAATATATATACTAAAATAAAATTTAAATTATGATAAATGTGTTAGTGAAATAATATATTATTATTTTAATATTTTGACTAAAAAAATAACGTTGATTAAAAACGTGGAAAATATATTATAACCTTATTATTTATTATAATTAACGTTGATTAAAAGAGATGAAAATAGATGATAATCCTATTGCTTTATATACTTAAACGGACAAAGCATGTGAAAATAACTCATTCAATATTTCTGACCCGTACATCGCACGGGGTACGTACTAGTTTATATATTACAGACAAACATGCGTTGACAATTTTGTAAATAAGTATATATTTTGTAGTCAAATGTACACATTGAACCATTAAATAAGGAGAAATTGGTAATTACACAATTACACATATCCACCCTATATATAAT